ACTTTATCTCTAGGCTCTAGCCCTGACTACTTTTACACGTCATTTCTCCTGGAAGTTCTTTAAATGCTTGAAGCCTACCTCAGGCTTTTGCTGCCATCCTCTCTGCCTGGAGTGCCGCTCCCCCAGGCAGTCACCTGGCCTGCTCCCTCACGTCCTTAAGTCTACACTCAACTGTCATCCTTTTAAAGAGACCCTCCCCCGACCATTAAAGATTTTATTTATTTATTTTTCCCCCAAAGCCCCAGTACATAGTTGTCTGTCATAGCTGCACATCCTTCTAGTTGCTGTATGTGGGACGCGGCCTCAGCATGGCTGGAGGAGTGGTGCCTCGGTGCGCACCCGGGATCCGAACCCGGGCCGCCAGCAGCGGAGCGCACGCACTTAACCACTAAGCCACGGGGCCGGCCCTCCCCTGACCATTATATAAAATACTAACCACCAGAGACAGGCTGAATGAAATATTGTTCCTTCACCCCATGGAGTACTATTCAGCTGTGAAAAAAGAATGAGGATGATCTCTATCACTGACATGGAACGATTCTCCAGACATATGGTTAATTGACAAAAACAACGTACAAAAGAGTTATACAGAGTATGTTACCTGTTGTTTAACAAAGGGAGTTAGAAATAAACATATGTATCTGTTTATATCTGCAAAAAGAAACAAGAAAGATAAAACAGAAACAAATAACATGTTATGAGGGAGGGGGTGGGAGGTAACAGAATTTCTCTGAGCATATATTTTTAAATAGTTTTGATTTGAACCATGTTAATATTTTACTTTTTTTTTTTTTTTTGGTGAGGAAAATTGTCACTGAGCTAACATCTGTGCCAATCTTCCTCTATTTTGTAGGTGGGACACCGCCACAGCACGGCTTGATGAACAGTGTGTAGGTCCACACCCGGGATCCAAACCCGGGGGTGCAAAAGCAGAGTGCATGAATTTAACCACTATGCCACTGGGCAGGCCCCTATAATATGTATTTAAAAATTAAATCAAGGGGGAAATCCCTAAAATTGAATAAACAGAAACAAATTAATGCAACTATATATCAAATTAATAACCACACAGAAGAAAGAAAAAGAATTAATCCGACTAACTTTTGAATATAGTATTCTATACATATTCAGTGGGATATTATGGAAGCATAAAAAGAACTACAAAGAAATCTTGAGCTGTATTTAGTGAAGTTTATGCTTGGTAGTGGTATTGGTATAGCAATTATGAAACTATTTTGTGTTTAATGTCCATTAGGAAAATATACTGATGCTACAAAGAATAGAGTTCTCACTATGGAGAAGGGAGCCACAAATAGGGAAGGGAGGAAGAGGAAGAAGAACCAAACTGTCGGATTAGCCGTAGTGCTAACAAGATAAACACACGACTTTGTGAAAACTCTATTTCCTAGCTCTGAAAACTGACAGGGCCTGGAAGCCATGACTCCAGCAGCCTTGAGTGCACCTAGCAACCAGATCTTGATTTCTAAATACCATCCCCCACTAAAAGGAACAAGGGAATCTAATGATTCCAAGGCTGAAGCAGGAGAGCTACAAAATGAGTCTAGAACATCTTTCCGTGCCAGAAAGTAAGGAAGTGCTCAAAAATTGATGGAAATATGGCAAAAGGACAATGAAGATTGGAGGGGTTCCTCCTTGCCAAATTCAGGATCACTGAGCATCAAAATGGACAACGACAGGAATGCCATCTTAAAAAATATCCATGAGTCCACCCTAGTACTAAAAAAATAAAATTAGAAAGGGAGCTGCAAAAGCTCTCCATTACTGAAGAATGTCAATAATGTATAAAAAAAAAAAATAGGGATAGGACATTGCCATCTACAAATATCTTAGTGAGAATGGACTCGGGGAAGAATCACCACTCGGTGAAAGACTGTTGGAGAACAGGATGTTCACACAACCTCGAAGTGTCACTTGATAAATCACGTATTATTTACACAGGGGGAAAAGAGCCTCTACGCTGGAGAAATCTGGTGAACCTCACCTTAACCAAATAATAGGAGTTAACAGCTCCAGTCAGGGGATAAATGGGCTGCATCCACCCCTGATGAGAAGGACACAACACACCCGTAAAAAATTCCTGCCAAGAAGGTAGTACCCAGAATCTAATCACGAGGAAACCGACAATCCAAACAGAGGGACATTTTATAAAACAACGGGTCCAGACCCTTCAAATATGGCGATGTCAAAAAGTACAAAGCAAAACAAACAAGTTGGCAACAGTTTTAGATGAAAGGAGATTAAGAGGCAGGACTACCAAATGCAGTGTGTGATCTGGGATTGGCTTCTGGTCTCTGTTAGAAAATAGTTTTGTAACAATGCTCTATTTCCTGACTGTGCTGATGGCTCTGTGGCTTACGGGAGACTTATTCTTAGAAGAGACAAGTTGAAATATTTAGCGGTAAGGCCTCATAAAGGCTGCAACTCTCAAATGGTTTAGCAAAAAAAAAAAGAAATTTTAAGTGTGTGTGCATAAAGAGGAAGAAGTAAACCAAATATGACAAAATGTTAATAACCAGTGATTCCAGGAGAAAAGCATGTAAGTGTTCATTGTACTATTTTGCAACTATTCTAAAGATTTTATATGTTCCAAAGTTTTTAAAAAATTCAAAAGAAATATGAACCACTTCCACTCACCTTTCCTCTGCTTTACTAATCTCTTTATTAGTAAATGTTTTCTTTACCACCACCCACCATCTTTATATTTCCTCGTTTATTTATTTACCATCTCTCTCCCCCACTTTAATGTAAGCTTCACAGAGGCCAGGAAGAGTGTTCCTGGTATCCCCAGGCCCTCGTACAGTGCCCGACACAGAGCTGACACTCAGTAAGTATCTGCTGAATGCCTGATGTTCACAATCATTCCATGAAGTAGATACTATTTTATCCTTTCATGTGAGTGGTGTACTCTCTCTTCAAAGGCAAAGATACCGAGGCACACAGAAGTTAAGTAATTTATAGAAGTTCGTAACCCAGGCGAGGGGCAGGGCCAGGGTCTGAAGTCAGGCATCTGACTTGAGCTGATGCTGCTTATCACGGTGTCAGGCAGCTTCCTAGTGAAGCACGCTCGGCCCACAAAGGGCTCACCTTCTACAGGCCTGCACCATTCATTCAGCCTTGTCCTTAGTGCAAGGCCTATTCAGAGCAGGTGATATTCATGCTTGCTGAATGAAATGACTTCTGAATAAATACATGAACAGGTGGGAGAGACCAGTATGAGGGGACTGTTCAGACAATCTTCCTGGAGGAGGAAGGGCTGGATGGCTAAACTGGGTTTTCGGGGGAAGAGAGAGCACAGATACAGGCAGCAGTGACAACAGGTACGTTCCAGGACCAGGGGGAGACCAGCTCATCTGGAGGAGGGTGACCCCATCCATTCAGGCTCTGCATGTGTCTCTCCTCCTTTCCCACAGCCAACGGTACATGAAAGCCTCACAGCTCTTTGGGCCCTGTGATGGTAGTCTGCCCTGACCTCTCTGCTTCCAATTCCTCTCCCTCTTCACTGCTGCCAGATTACCCTTCCTAATGCATGGCTCTGATCCTGTCAGGCCCAGAAACAGCTCTCCTTTGCCTACAGAAGAGAATCCAAACTCCCAAAGGGGACATTCAGGGCTCCGCCACGGGGCCTCAAGTTCCCGTGGGCACATTACCCTTCAGTGACACCGAAGGACTCCCTACCGCCCAGATTCACCCTGCACACTGTTGCTCCCCTGTCTTTCTGACCTGGTCTCCTCCTCTTGGAATCTTTTCCCATGTCATGGCACATCCACATACCACCTGTCCTCGGAGGCTGGGTTCAAATACCCTTCCTTCTGTAAAGTCTTTGCTTCACAAGATATTTGATTTCATCCAAAGGTATTGCTTTCTTCCCTCTGCAGGCCCCTAGCACTTTGTTTAAGCCCTCTTACAACACTTACTTCTGGGCATTACAAGGGAGGGATTTTTGAGCATATCTCAACCCCTCCCCCCAGGCTGTGCTCCATAGATGTATGTACCCCACAGGCACTCAATAAACGCTGAATGCAGCATGGAGATGGAAGATGGATCTGGTAGCACCCGATCAAAAAGGGGCCCAATGGGAAACCCGCACAGAAAGGAGAACCAGTTAACGGGGTTATTGCTATGTCCCAGGGTTTGGATATGACTTAACTAGGGGCCTGTGTGTGGAGGGGCTTATGCGGGTGAGGAGGTAAAAATGGAGACAAAGATACCTATATTTCATGGGGCTGTTGTGACGATTTAGCTGAAGAAGTGTGAAAGGGATGGCCGCAGTTCTAGACACTCACAAGTTAGTTCTTTTCTGTTTTGAAGGGAGGGGCAAGGAGCACCGGCCGCACTACTGAGGAATCCCAAGTGAGGCCATCACCGACTCTAGACCCTTCTCTCCCTCTCCTCTCCCCCTCCCGCGCGCGGGTGGAAATCCCTGGCTTTGGGACTGGCACTCCCGGCGGGGGAGGGCGGAGTGCTGGCGACCAGCCGCATCCTTCGGGCGGCGAGAACCGGTCCCCAGCCCCCGTGCCGGGCGAGTTCCCAGGCCCGGGAGGCAGTGATAAGGCCCGCCCGCCGGAGGCCCGACAAGTAACTTAGCAGTCACTCGAGTCTCAGAGAAGAGGCACACCCTTCCGGAGAACACTGGGTGGGGGGTGAGCGGGGATCGGGGTGGGGAGGGGGGTTAGCAGGGATCCCCAGAGAGAGAAAACAGCGCCGGAGAGGTGAACGAGCTGGAGCCCCGTGCCTCTTCCACCCAAACAGGATTCAAGCGCCTGGGCTCAAAGTTTCTTCTCGACTGCCCACGGGAGACTTGCTGAGGAAATGACAACTTGCTCTCCCCAAGGGTCCGCTGGCTGCGTTTCTACTGCCACCCAACCCAACTTGCAATCGCCTTGAGCCCAGCCGGCCCACGCGGCCCCGGAGCCCTGGGGTCACGGTCGCACCCAGCGCTGCCCGTCCCTGCGGGGGGCCCGGGGAAGGCCTCCACTCACCGAAACAGAAGACCAGGCAGACCACGGCGAGGACCCCCGCGGCCCACCCCGGGGCGCTCCCTGCGGCCATGGCGTGTCGGGCCATCTCTGCGCCCGGGGCCCCCGCCTGGCGCAGCCGCAGTTCCGGGCACTGGCCTCGCCCGCCGCGGAGTG